TAGCTTGTTGCAAAGAAGGCACTTTTCTTTTGGTTGCCATTAGGTGGCATCTAAGCCTCTTGGATCCCTTCTTTATATAAAGCCTTAATAATACCTTTTTTTCTTTGTAGATGTTTAATCGCACTCACTACTCTCAGTCTCAGTCCCTGTTGTCGTTAGTGTCTGTTTCGATAGTGCTTGCTCAGATTCCCCTGGAATCCGTGGTGTTTGGTCTCAGAGGATATGGGCGTGGGGCCCTCTTAGCTGGGGGTTGGGGTTTGCGGCTCAGCCTCGGTTTTGCATCCACGGCTGGTAAAAATCAACTGTTGTTTCTCTGCCATCCTGCTTCTTTGCTTTCTGCCCTGATGACTGGGCACTGCCACCAGCTGTGTGGAGCTCACAGCACTCCCAGGCAGGGTATTCAGAGTTCTCGCTGCACCTTCTCCTTTCCCCCTCCTCCTACAGGGAGATCCACACTGCTAGAGGCAACTTCTTTATTTCTCCCAGTCCACCACCCAACATCTGTTGTTCTGACTTGTGGTAGGTCTTATATGCAGATCCCATGTTCAGTTTGGGTGTTTTTTCTTGAGTTTTAAGTGTTCAGCTTATTTTTGTTTCAACAGGAGAGATCTGGGGACGTCTTGTACTGCCATGTTTCTCCCTCATTCCCATGTGTATTATTTTATAAGTGGAGAAGTGGAGTTTTTCTTTCAGAGACTTCCTATGCTTAAATGTGCAGGATGTATGGTATGGTTTCCAGTCACTTGGCTCTTTTGGAATTGTAAACCACTATGTAGATATCATCTTGGACTTTTAAACTTTTTAAAGGCAAACCAAACATACTTACTTATATTCTCCAACACAAATATTGTTTTATCAGAAATAAAAGGTAGAAGTTGTAGTGTCCCCAAAAGATACAAACATCGGGTCCAGCTATTTTGGTTTTATTTTGTTTGTGATTGGTGTTTTCATTGAAACCTGCTGTAGACAAGGAACTGGTCAGAAGAGCCTTTGTAAGTTAAGCTTGCTTGAGCAGGGAAGAGCCCCACAAGCTCGCCATTTATGCCTTTGCCCACTTGGGCCTAGCTTCAGTCCCCATGCCTGCCTAGCAGTCTTCTGAATGTCCAGACCTATGGCCATGCTCCAGTGATCCTTTCACCAGAACTGTTGATCAGAAGAAAGCAACCAAGAAAGCTATTAGACAGCTCTGGTTCTCTGCCTATTTCAGAAGACTCTTAGTTCCACTGAAAAACTCGCTTGCTATGAGGAAGCCTTCTTTTCAGATATGGAAGTTGCTTAGTCATAACTTCAATCACGTTTTAAGCTTTCTATGAATACTTTTTAGTAAAAAGCAGACATTTAGTATGTTTCTGTTCTGAATTGGTACCACACACACACACACACACACACACAGAGTTTTTAAACTGGAAAACAGGTGCTTTAATTCATGCAGAACTGTAAAACATAAACATATTTTTAAGATCTTTTTATTTTTCTTTATTATTTTATTTTATTTTATTAGTTTCAAGTATACAGTACATTGGTTAGACATTTATATAGTTTACAAACTGATCTCCCCTGTTACTTTATCATCCTTCTGGTTCTATACGTAGCCATTACATTACTGCTGACTACATTCCCTGTGCCATACTCCCCATCCCAGTGACCATCTCTCACCTACTAATTTGTACTTCTTTAACCCTTCACCCCTTTCTCCCAGCCCCCCAACCCACCTTCACTCTACCAGTCACCAGATTGTCCTTTGTATTTGTGAGTCTGTTTTTATTTGTTCTTTTTGTTCCTTATATTCCACATATAAGTGAAATTATGTAGGATTTGTCTTTCTCTGACTTATTTCACTCAGCATAATAAGCTCTAAGTCTATCCATTGCAAATGGTAAGATTTTATTTTTTACGACTGAGCGATATTTCATTGTATATATGTACCACTTCATCTTTATCCAGTCATCTTTTAATGAGCACTTAGGTTCCTTCCATATCTTGGCTATTGTGAATAGAGCTGCAGTGAACATAGGAATGCATAGATCTTTATGAATTAGTGTTTTGGCTTTCTTTGTATAAATACCCAGAATTTCAATTGCTGGGTCAAAAGGTAGATCCGTTTTTAATTTTTTGAGGAATGTCCAGACTGTTTTCCATAGTGCCTGTACCAATTTGCAATCCCACCAACAGTATACGAGAGTTCCCTTTTCTCCACATCTTCGCTAGCACTTGTTGATTTTTGATTTATTGATGATAGCCATCTTGACAGGTGTGAGGTGATATCTCATTGTGGTTTTAATTTATATTCCTCTGATGATTAGTGACCTTGAGCATCTTCTCATATGTTTATTGGCCATCTGTATGTCGTCTTTGGAGAAATGGATTTTCAGGTCTTCTGCCTATTTTTAATTGGATTGTTTTGTTGTTGTCATTGTTGTGAGTTTATTTTTCTTTTAAATGTCGAGTGAATGGAAAGCATTATGATTTCAAAAGGTAGAATATAGTACTTACTAGAAACAAACTTTTGGCCAAAGGAAAAAATTCTCAAGCAATACAGCATTGTGAGAAATATTTTTTTCTTCTCTTAAAAAGTATATAAAGATACATCAGGTTCATTATTCTCAGGTTTGAAGTGCCTAATTTTTATACATAAAAACGAGTTACATGAACCAATTCTGGAACTCCTCTCCTCTGCCCACTTTAATGGCAATTTACTTCCTCTTTTTCCTACCATAGATACCACTGCTAGCAAGGACTCTCAGCTCCTTTTTCTTCAGTTCGAGCTGGCCTGCTGTGACAGGAGAGAATAAATGTCAAGATTGGGGGAGGGACACATCGTTTCTCTCTTTCTCTTATACATCTTACATACTGTCAACATCAAGAAAGAAAGGAAGAATCTTTTCATCTAAAATTAACTAAGCCCTTCGTCCCTGGTCCCTAACCTTAGGCTGTGTCCCATTTCCCATCTACAGTGTCACCCAAACACTCATCATGTTAGTGGAATCCATTCTCTGACCTAATAAAGCCCCAACTTCATGGAGATGCTTAGATATTTTGAATGGAGCTCCCGAGTACTTCCCAGGGATTTTAGCATTTGAGGACTACCAGCAGTAGCTTGAGAATTTTCATCCTATAATTAGGGCTGAAAGTGTTTCTGGCATCCCAAGTTGAAACACAACACTGAATATATTTTTTTTTTCCCTAGAAACACTGTTACGGTATAAATAATAGTTTCTCTGCTACTCTTCATGCTATACTACAGATACTTTTGTGTTAAATTGTCCGTTGGGGTACTACCCCAGGAAGCTAGAAAACATTTTTATGGGAAAATGCTTGCTTTCCAAATTCCAAACATCTTACATAAAAATGGACTTGTGAAACACAATCCATTTACAACTTGCGTAGTTGCCAATATCAGTGTAGTAAAACCAACAATTCCTCTTCTAGTCAACTCTGTGGTCCCACAAAAATTCAGGGAATACCACTCATGAAATGGTACGGAGAGAGAGGTGTTCCTAGTATTTCAAGCTATATTTAAAAGAGAAAATAAAAAAAAGATATAATGATTCATTCCAATTTTTATCTCATAGTGCTAAATGATGTGTGTGCGTGTACACAGCTGTTTTGGAATTCATATACTCCTTCTATGAACACCATTTCCTCTTGTATACTTACAGTGAAGTTAACTCTACCTACAGTAATATGCTTTTAAATCTATACTCTCTCTTATCCATTTAGCTGTGTAGGGGGACAATATTCTATCTACTTTCCATATGTGTACCAAAAATGCCCAATTATCATGGCAGATAAAAGTTGTCAAGTGCATTAAAACAAAAGCCAAAAAGTAAAATAAGACAAAATATCCAGTGTCCTCACTCTAAAATCACATGATTTCACCAGAAGCCCCATTCCAAATTTCTACAAGTTTTCATTTACTTCCTTGTTCTTTAATGTGTCTTTCTTTTCTTTTCAATATTATCATTCAAAATAATAATGTAAACTTGTGGTTTATTTTTCTGGGTTTTATAAAAATTGCTAATAGTTCTACAATAAGAAACAATAACTTGTTATTTATTTAGCTATATCATAGGCTAAATAGGTTTGGGGGAAGGTCAAGACTCAGAACTTTTTATTTTCATTTGTAATGGTCAATGGACAAATAGATTTGGGGTTCCAAACAACTATTTTAAATCTGTATTTTAAAACCAGGACATTAGTATATCAGATTTGACATTTACACCAGTATGTTATTTTGCTAAGATTTGTAATTATAAATTGTTTCATGGCCTTTACAGGGTTCAAAATTATGGATAATAATGGAATACCTGGGTGGTGGTTCAGCACTGGATCTTGTAAGTATTTTTAAATAATCACACACATGTACACATACACATTCATACTTTAACTTTTTTCTTTTAATTGGAGTAAGCAATGGCTTTTGGGCAAGGTAAGTGGTTGCTTTAATTAATATCTTCAAATAAAACTTTTTTTCAAGACCATTATCCTTAGGTAGATTAGTTGTATTGCAGGATTGAACATGTTGCTGACAGTCTTAGAATGTATAAAAAAATGTAAATAGATTAATAAAATCAATCCCCCAGATTAGGAATGAGTGTGTGACAGTTGCTGTCAGTGTAGAGTTTTACTTCTCAAGCTTATCCCTGAAAAGACTTTCTTAGATTTTTTGAAGTATGTAATTCGTGTAACTCTAACTAAGAGTGGTTCTTGGCCTATAAACCCAGTTCTCTACAGAGTTCTCTCTGCTCCTTTATAGGTCATTTGGAAATATAATGGCATTTTTTGTTGTCACAATGACTTGTAAGTGCTACAGCCATTTTGGTGGGCAGGGATGAGAATGCTAAAACCATTGAGAAACAGTGCCTTTGAGAAACACTAGTTGTTTTCTGCAAAGTAGTGTGATCCTATCACTGTTGGTTTTTTCCCTTTCCAATCTTTATTAGGATGACATTGTATTTAAAATACAATATGAATTACTAGAGGCAACTTATTGTAGTAGAATGACCATTGGGCTGGTCTATGGAAGTTTGAGGTTATAAGGCTGGCTCTATTCATGACTAAGTCTGTGACTGTGAATCAAACATATAAATTCCTTGGAATTGGATTTCCTATAAAACAAAGAAGTTGCATTGAGCTATTTCTAAGTTCTTTTATCTTTAATATTATATGGCAATATTTTATTAGAATGTCTCTTCCTTTGAAATTGTAGAGCATGCTGTTTCTAAAAATAGTGTTTTGATAATTAAGATCATCAAGTGATATTTTAAGTTTTTTTTTAAATGGCGATGAGTTTTCCTAACTAAAAGTGATTAAATATTTTTAAAAGGCTTTAATCCTTACTGCAAGTAACTCAGTTTCAAATAATCCTATGCCAAAATGACCATAAAAGATTGTCTTTCCTTTAGACAGAACCGTACCTAAACTATTCTAAAGAAATGGTAATTAAACTGGATGAAGAGTCACATTTCCTTCTAGAAATTCATCAGTTTAATCAGTTGCCGAGTTAAGTAATCCTTCCTTGTGTCTAATCTAATTCTTATATCCTAAAGCCGGAGTTCACTCTTTTGTTTCTCTTTTCTAGTGTCTTGTCACGTAGTTTGCTTATACAATAGTTTCTTCATTAGCTCCACAAGAAGCCTCACAATTACTCCATGATCCTCCTTCTGCTTTTTAAATATTAAGAGCCCTTTCCACATTTATCAGTTATCTTATCTGGTCCCTCAAGGTGCTCACCATGTCTCTTCCCTGTTTTATAGACATTGCTTTCATCAAGATCACTGATAGCAAGGCTAAGTATTGGACACTGGCCCAACCCCAACACACTCTGCATCCTCCAGTAGTAGTTTGGTCAGTTTTATGAAATCTCTGAATGAAAGGATTGTAAGCTCTTAACCTCATTCTGCCATTCTGATCTCTGCATAACAGAACAAATGCCAATTACATAAATTTAATGAACTTAAAATTTTCTTAGCCTCGTAGTGGCTAAAAAATTAAGAGACCTAGGTCCCAGTCCTGGTTCTGCCATTGACTAGCTGTCTAATGTTGGGTAAGCCATTTAACCTCTGTGACTTAATTTCCTCAAATCTTAAGTGAAGAAATTAGACTAGTAATGTCTCTAGTTTTGTTTTTCTAGCTCTAAAATTTAGTAATATTGTGATTTAATTATAAATCTCATTTAACTGGACTTTATAGGGAGAGCAAATAAAGAGACAATGTTCTATTTCTTCTCCATGTATATTTCTATACAAATGAATGCTATCATTTGGGGAATCTAATAAAGGATTAGGCTTAGAGGCTTATGCTACTAGGAATAAGAGAAAACAAAAGTGATGCTAAGCAGAGAATGTTTAACACTATAAACTAGTATATGAATAATGGAATATGAATATGACTTATAATTTATGTCAACCTTATATAATGTATAACTCAAGATTCTCTTTCATTCTTGAAAAAAAATCAGTTGAATTCAACAGACTTTGAGCATATTGTATATTTTATTGAATTTGTTACACCTTTCTTTTCTTCAATAAGAATTATAGTGGTCTACAACAAAAAACACATGTAATAAAGTTAATAGAATAAAACATGAGCACCAAGGGAAAAAGTTGGAAGCAAAATGCTAACTGTAAAGTAAGGCATAACATAACATGCTGCATTAGGGACAGGCTGGAAGTCAAAGGAGTGTGGGGTAAAACCCAAAAAGTACAAGTGTACATTCTTTGAAAGAGCAAATATCCCTCTCTTTCATATCCTCAGTTGAAAATAGAGGCAAATTACTTAAGGCCAGCACACTGCCCTGGCGACGGAGGTATTAGCTGTTAGACACATGGCACGGTCTTCAGGCATTGGAGGGAACTTCAATTATGCACTCCCAGTACACAGTGGAACAAGATCTTGGCATTCTCTTTCCCAAGGTCACATTGGAAATAAAAAACAATCTTTGTTCCATCTACTTTAATTTCTTTCTCTTTCTAGCTCCCTTTTTCCTCTTCTTCTAATTACTATCAAGATGGCTAAGGAAACATTTTAATCAGAAGATTTGGGATAGTTTTCTGTCTGATACTGAACCAGAAAAACTCAACTGTACCACCACCCCATTCCCATTTCTCTGCAACGGAGTCTCTCCTCCAATCCTCATCCAATGCCCAGTTAACCGAAATTTTACTTTTATTGAATTTGAAACTGGAACTAAATATACCAGATAAGCTAATGAGTCTTTAGGACCTCTCTTTTATTTATTTTTACTTTATCCAAGCACTTTTAGAAGTCCTTTAGAATGATAGCTAGTACCCATTACAAGTACCCATTACATAGACCTTGCCCCGTTTCTGAAGTGAGAGTATACCTCCTCTGGCTCTGTCAACATTTTATGATCAGTGATACTAAGTGTTGATCTTGAGTATTATGATGTTTGTCTTTCAGTTATTTGGTAGTACCTCAGAATTTCATTGCCAGGAGTCAATAAAATAATATGCCATCTCAAATTTTAATATGACTTTAATCACTACTATATATTTAATATTTTTTTTATTTTTTAATTACAGTGGACATATAATATATTAGGTTCAGGTGTACAACGTAGTCATTAGACATTTATATAATTTATGAAGTGATCCCGTAATAAATCTGGTACCCATCTGACACCATACACAGTTATTACAACATTATTGACTATATTGACTATATTTCCTATGCTATACTTTACATCCCAATGACTATTTTGTAACTACCAACTTGTACCTCTTAATCCCTCTCTTCCTTCTGGCAACTATCATAATGTTCTCTGTATCTATTGGTTTGTTTCTGTATTGTTTGTTTTTATTTTTTTTAGATTCCACATATAAGTAAAATTATATGGTATGTGTCTTTCTCTGTGACGTACTTCACTCAGCATAATACCCTCTAGGTCCAGCCACGTTGTTGCAGGTGACAAGATTTCATTCTTTTTTATAGATGAGTAATGTTCCATTGTATATATGTACCACTTGTTCTTTATTCATTCATTTATTGATAGGCACTTAAGATGCTTCCATATCTTGGCTATTGTGAATAATGCTGCATTGAACATATAGTTGCATTTGTCTTTTTGAATTGGTGTTTTGGGTCTTTCTTTGTCTCTTGTCATAGCCTTTGTTTTAAAGTTTATTTTCTCTGGTATAAGAATTGCTACTCCAGCTTTTTTTTTTCATTTCCATTTTCATGAACTATTTTTTTCATCCCTTTGTGTTCAGTCTGTGTGTGTCTTTTGATCTGAAGTGAATCTCTTGTAGGCAGCATATGTTGGGGTCTTGCTTTCTTATCCATTCAGCTACCCTATCTTTTGATTGAAGCATTTAACTCTTTTACATTTGAACTACTTGTTGATAGATATATTGTTATTGCTATTTTATTATTCATATTTTTGATACATATATATATTTTTTTCTTCTTTAAGAAATCCCTCCAGCATTTCCCATAATACTGGCTTGGTGGTGATGAACCCTTTTAGCTTTTTCTTGTCTGGGAAGCTGTTTATGTCTCCTTTGATTCTAAATGATAGCTTTGCTAGGTAGAATAATATTGGTTGCAGAACTTCGCTTTTCATCACTTTGAATATTTTGTGACAATCCCTTCTAGCCTGCAAAGTTTCTGTTGAGAAATCAGTTTACAGTCTTATGAAAACTTCCATGTAGGTAACTAATTGATTTTCTCTTGCTGCTTTTAAGATTATCTCTTTGTCCGTACCCTTTGGCATTTTAATTATAATGTGTTTTGGTGTGGGCTTCTTTGGGTTCATCTTGTTTGGGACTCCAAATTTTCTAGGGCTGTATGTCTATTTCCTTCACCAGGATAGGGAAGTTTGCCATCATTATTTCTACAAATAGATTTTCAATTCCTTGTTCTCTCTCTCTCTTCTGGTACCCCTGTGATGTGAATGTTGTCCCAGAGGCTTCTTAAACTATTCATTTTTTGGACTCTTTTTTCTTGTTGCTGTTCTGATTGCATGTCCTCCACTGCCCCATCTTCTAAATCACTGATTCGATCCTCTGCTTCATCCACTCTGTTGATTCCCTCTAAGGTACTCTTCATCTCAAATATTCTATTCTTCATTTCTGACTGGCTCCCTATTTTCCATCTCCATTTTTATGTTTTCCATCTCTTAGTTAAAGTTCTGACTGAATTCATCTGCTCTTCCACTAAGTTCCTTGAGCATCCTTATAACCAGTGTTTTAAACTCTGCATCTGGTATATTGCTTGTCTCCATTTTGTTTAGTTCTTTTTCTGGAGCTTTGTTCTGATCTTTTGTTTGAGAAACGTTTCTTTGTCTACTCATTTGGGCTGCCTCCCTGTGTTTGTTTCTATGTGTTAGGTAGAGCTGGTATATCTCCTGGTCTTGGTAGGGTGGCCTTATGTAGTAGGTGTCCTGTGGAGCCCAGTGGCACAGTCTCCCTGATCACCTCGGATAGGTGCTCCAGGTGTGTCCCTTGTGTAGGTTGTGTTTGCCTTCTTGTTGTAATTGAGGCTTGGTTGCTGTTTGCACATCAGTGGGATGGATTGACCCTCAGGCTGACTGGCTTTGAGGACTAGCCATGACTACAGTGGAGGAGATGATGTGGAAGAGCTGACCCTATAGAGCAGGATTTGTTTTATCAGGGCTCTGCTGCCTGCCCAGTCTGCCCTTTGGGTGTGTCATTTGTGGAGCTGGTTGAGTGGTGCTCTGATGTGTTCTGATGCTGGCAACCAAGTGTAATGTTTCTGGAGCCTTTTGAGAGGTGCTTCCGTGCAGGCCAAAGTCAGCTGCTACCTGTGCCCTGCCTGGGGTCACTTGGTATGAGCTACAAAGTAATGTGCCTGGGAGAGGCTATGCTGCGAGCTAAGGCCAGCTGCCACTACTGCCAGGCTTAGGGCTGCTTAACAAGAGATCCAGGGCATGCCAAGGCTAGAGGATACTTGTTTGGAGTTTGGGAAACTTTGATAGTTTTTAGAAAAGTTTTTAGCATGAGCCAAGACTGGCTGTTTGTATGGAAAAGCCACAGGAAGCAGCTTGGGTGGTCCTGCAATTCGGGTTAGGCAGGGTCTCAGGGACTCACCAGGGTGGGGCAAACGGTGTTTGCCTGGTTGATGGAGACTCAGATATGGTGGCTACATGCACATGCAGTTTTGGTGGGGGAAAGTGAGGGATGATGGCTTCTGCCAGCACTTCTGTCTGGGAGAAAGCTGCCTCTCCAGTCCTCGCCCTGAAGCTAGACAATGCAGTTCCTCCAAGTATGTCCCTGGTGCCTTTTGAGCTGCTTCCCCAGTGCTAGAGCTCAGAGTGAGTGAGTCTGTCAGCCACTAAGATCATGCACAGGCCATTTAAAATAAATATGTGTGATTCCAGCCACCGTCCATCTCACTCAGCCACAATTTCTACTGGTTTTCACAACCATAAGTTGTGGGGACTTTAATTCCTAACACTGGAACCCTGAGTAGGGAGCCTGTGGTGGGGCTGGGACTCCTTACTCCTCAGGGAGGACCTCTGCATCAGAGATACCCCTTCTTATTTTTTTAAAGCCTACAGCACCTGGTATTCCCAGGTGGTCTCCCATCCAACTACTAACCAGGCCCAACACTGCTTAGCTTCCGAGATCAGACGACATCGAGCATGTTCGGGGTGGTATGGCCGTAGACCCCCTTCTGATTTTTAACCACCACATGTGGATATGGTACGAGCCCATTCAGCATATTTGCCTCTCTATGGTGGCTTCTGCTGTATGTCCTTAGTTATAGGACTTCTGTTCAAGTAGACTTCAAATGATTCTCAGTGATAGTTGTTCTGTAGTTTAGTTGTAATTTTGAGGTAGTCATGAGTGGAGGCGAGTACAGCCTTTACCTGCTCCACCATTGTGCCCAGAATAAAAGCACTACTATTTAAATAGAAACTTCTGGGGTGGAAGTTTCTAGATTTGAAAGTAAATACATAATGTTACATAAGAAAGGTACCTAGTGAACTATGATGTCCCTGGAGTATACTGCATATCCAGAACACAGCTAATATTAAATAGCATGACCAAAGTATGGGTTCTGTTTTAAGCAGTTAAATTTCAACAAGAAAGTGCCCTCTATTCAGAATAAATATGGCATTCATGAAAGATGAAATATACAAGATGCCAAAGAGCTGTGAATCTCTCCCAATGTGAGGCTGTGTGAGCAATATTTGATTTTCAACACCTCTCCCCTCCTTTCAGCAAACAGAACTCAACCTCAGCTCTGACTTTAGTTTCCCTCCTGTTCCTGTAATAATATCGTACAGTCCACTATTTGTGCTTTATGAGGTATCAGATTTTTTAAATAACCATTTATTTTAAAGAGAGATTTTTAAATATTCCATTATAGGTTCTCCTGAAACTTAATCATTGCTTTCCTTGTATTCCAGTTGGAACTACTGGCTTTGGTACAGGGATGGGGAAAGAAAGGGAAATGTGTTACATTTATTTGAAAAACTGTATCCCTCCATGATTTGATCTTTTTTTTTTTTACAATGAATATCTGAATGGTTTAATTATATTCCTAGTTAAATTTTAAATTTGAGTCCCCAAAAGTCTCTAAGCTTTTACAATGTTGAAATATATAAATGCTAAAAATTGTGTGCCACGGCAGACTTATATATAATCAAATTTGGCTACTGGTGAAATCTTATGGACTGTGAGCTTAAAATCAGTTCTGCATAAATATTTAATAACTTTTAAACAACAAATGTAAAAATTTAAGCAGCTGTTTTTTTTCTTCCTATCTGAAAGGAAGAAAGCTGGTTTGTCATTATTTAAATGTATCTAAAATTTGTGATGTAAATATCTGAGAAACTCAGGATTTAGAGCTGGTATATAGGTAACACTACTTGTATTATTATCTTTCAAGATTAAATCCGATCATTTAAAAATCCTTCCAGCCCTTTGAGTTAACTTTTTTAGTCTCTTTCTTTACCTTTTAATTTTTTTTTCTCATTCATTTAAATATTGGTTTAAGAAACAGAACTGCTTCATACATCTAAGTGATTCCCTTCTTTCAAAGATAACAAGTTTGAACTTTATTGTTCCAAACATTGATACATGTGTGTTTATGTGTGTGTGTGTTTTTTCTCTAAGCTGCGAGCTGGTCCATTTGATGAATTCCAGATTGCTACCATGCTAAAGGAAATTTTGAAAGGTCTGGACTATCTGCATTCAGAAAAGAAAATTCACCGAGACATAAAAGGTATACTAATGTCCAATATAAACCTGAGAAAAATAGATGCATTCTGAGGAAGATAAGCTTCTTTTCACTTTTTGTTTTTTCCCTCCTAGCTGCCAATGTCTTGCTCTCAGAACAAGGAGATGTTAAACTTGCTGACTTTGGAGTTGCTGGCCAGCTGACAGATACACAAATTAAAAGAAATACCTTTGTGGGTACACCATTTTGGATGGCTCCTGAAGTTATTCAACAGTCGGCTTATGACTCAAAAGTAAATTGTTACCTGTACAAGCTGTTTTGTTTTTAATAATAAATTTTATATAACATATTATCCTATTTAATACATTGCCTTAATTTTCCTTCCTTTTAAAGTATTCCTAAAGCTAGAATTATTTCAAATGTTGCTGCTAAATTATAATCAAGTTCCCTCGATGCCAGTACTATTCAGACCCTATTCCTTTCAATTTCCTTTCATCCCACTTGGAATAAAATCCAAAGTCCTTGCTATTGTATACATGGCTCACTAGGATCTGGCCCTTGTCTGCCTCTTCAACCTCATCTCCTATAACTCTCCTCTATATTCTACCTGCTTCAGCCACAGTGGCCTCATTGCTGTTCCACAAACATAGCAAGTGCACTTGCCCTCCTTCTATCTGAAATAAACTTCCTCCCAATGAGGTCTCTACTTTAAACATTGCAGCCTCTTAATTCCATCACTCGTTATTCTCTTATGCTAAGTTATTTTCTTCACAGAACTTAGCACCATCTAATATCATATTATTTATCTATTTTTGTCTTCTACTAGAATACAAGCACCTTGAGAGCAGGGACTTTTGTCTGGTTTATCTACCACCTGAATCCTCAGTACCTAGAACGTGATACTTGGCACAAAGTATGGAATTTGATAATTTTTTTAAATAAATGAATTTTATTAATAAAAATTCATTAACATCACATTTCTTGCAACACTTTAATATTGCCATTAGCTTCCACAGGCTATTTTGTGGCAGTATATTGGAATGGAGTTTCAAGGTCATTTTCTTTCTCTTACCTTAGGCTGACATTTGGTCATTGGGAATTACTGCTATTGAACTAGCCAAAGGAGAGCCACCGAACTCTGATATGCATCCAATGAGAGTTCTGTTTCTTATTCCAAAAAACAATCCTCCAACTCTTGTTGGAGACTTCACTAAGTCCTTTAAGGAGTTTATTGATGCTTGCTTGAACAAAGATCCATCATTTGTGAGTATATATTGCTTTTACTACCTTTGTCTATTATTAGAACTACATAGAACAAACATTTTTTCTACAGTGAGAAATACAGTGCATGTGAAAATTGTCTAAGATCTATCCAGGAACTTGGTTCTTCCCTCTATATTGCTAATTCTGTTCAGTTCTTAACAAGATCCTTAGTTCTTTTGCTCCTTCCACTCTATCTTTTTATGTTTTTCGTAGTCCCTAGCTTATTCCTTATTCTATTATTTCCTATTTCAGGGGGAAAGAAATTTGAGAAATAAAATTTATTTAATAAGATGTCATGAATGAAGTTTATGTGTAACTATTTTCAATAATTTTTACTCAACTGTGTTTTCACTTTCCATGAATAGTTATGTTTGCATTTCGCTATTTTAAAATTAATGTTTAGATATTCCAACATGAAGGTGCATACTTTTCCTGAAGTCTAGTGAATCTCACTCATTTACCTAACAAATTTGATTACAGTTGTTTTACTGTTTTTAAAATAAAGCTGCCTGGCTGTTGGTGGGATTGAAAATTGGTACAGCCACTATGGAAAACAATATGGAGATTCCTCAAAAAATTAAAAATAAACTACCTTAGGACTAAACAATTTCACTTCTTGGTATTTATCCAAAAAAATTCAAAACACTAATTCAAAAAGATATATGCACCCCTATGCTCACAATAGCATTATTTACCATAGCCAAGATTTGGAAGCAACCTACATGCCCATCAGTAGATGAATGGATAAAGAAGAGGTGATACATATATACAATGGAATATTACTCAGCCATAAGAAAGAATGAAACCTTGCCATCTGCAACAAGGATGCATCTAGAGGGTATTATGCTGAGTGAAATAAGTCAGACAGAGAAAGTCAAATACCATATAATTTCACTTATATATGGAATCTAAAGAACAAAATTAATGAACAAACAAAACAGAAACAGACTCGTGGATATAGAGAACAAACTGATGGTTGTCATATGTGAGTGGAGTTGGAGAGCTGGGTGGAAAAGGGAGGGGATTAAGAAGTACAAACTATTAGTTAAAAATAATTATGGGATATAAAGTACAGCATAGGGAATATAGTCAATAATATTGTAATAATTATGTATGGTACTAGGTGGGTACTAGATTTATTGGGGAGATCACTTCATAAATTATATAAATAACCACTATGCTATATAACTGAAACCAATATAAAATAATATTGAATGTCAACTATAATTGAAAAATAAAAAAAAAAAATAAATGAAGCTGCCTGGTGATTTCTAGAAACTAGAAATGTATAAAAACTATCTAAGTTTGATGTGCCAATTTAAAGTTGATAACAAATGTTCTGATATTAATAAAGTACTAGGTTGGACCTATCCCCCATAGTACCTGGTATTTGTATTTAGATGCCATATGAATTAATCTGGAGATCATACAATGTGTGCAGCTAATAACAAAGTTACAGCATTGCTAGTTTTCATCCATTTTTTTTCAATTTACAGTAAATATAATAAAAGTATTTAAAGTACTATTTGAAATGTTTTTAAATTTTTAATTTATTTTCAAAATTCTGCCATGTGTTTCTCTGCTTTGAGAAGGCCCTGGCCTGCCAGTTTGCTGGTAGATAAGCTACCTTTTGCCATTGGGCTATTTAACAAACTGGTACCAAAACAGTGCATTTAATTTGGTTACCTTGTGCCACTTTGAAAATAGAATTAGCTCTTGTCCTACAGCATTTTAGTTGTCCTCATGTCTACAGACATATTTTTATACCTTTAAACTTAATAACTGAAATGATTTCTTACCACCTGTTGCATTCGTAAAGAGCCTAGAAATATTCATGCATATTTCATTTTTTCCTTAGCGTCCTACAGCTAAAGAACTTCTAAAACACAAATTCATCGTAAAAAATTCAAAGAAGACTTCTTATCTGACTGAACTGATAGATCGATTTAAGAGATGGAAGGCAGAAGGACACAGCGATGATGAATCTGATTCTGAGGGCTCTGATTCGTATGTACAAATTATTTAAGTTTTATTTAAATAGCCTATATTAATATTATGTATCATTTAACCGTGATCCAAAATGCTTTCTCTAGCATATAATACAAACTGTATTCTAAAGTTCTACTTTAGAAACTGTGAAAATCTTTCAAATCATAGATATGGAGTAAAACGAATTTGAAAACATGTTTTTTTCTTAGTTTTAAATGGTCTCAGTCTAACCCCTAGTGGATACTTGAGTATATTACAGAATTTTGGAACAAGATTTGATTAAAGGTGTTATATTAGTTTGCCAAAAGTGATAGATAAGGGGCTATTTCTTCTCATACTTTGTTGGCAACCTGTAAAATCTCTCTGGAGAACTGACCTCCAGGCCTTTCCTACCTCTTGGCCACGGACCAAATCATGATCAGAGTGGTACATTTAAATACAGTAAGTCCTTACATAATGTTGTCAATAGGTTCTTGGAAACTACAACTTTAAGCAAAATGTCACAATGAAACCAATTTACCATAGGCTAATCAATAGAAACAAGAGTTAAGTTCCTATGACACATTTCTGGTTACAGGAACATCATCAAACTCTAAATAAAGCATTGAAATAAATGTAAGCTATACATACATTTAAGAAAGGTGAATAAAAACCAATAATGCTTTTCCAGCCTGCTGATTCCAGTTAAGAGTCTGAGGTGGCTGGAGCCTCTCTCAGAAGCGCAGGGACAGGACACCCTTCCATACTAGGACGACTCACACACAGCCATATTCACTCAGACTGAGACAACTTAGACATGCCAGTTCACCTTCACATGCACATTTTAGGGATGTGGGAGAAAATCAGAGGATCCAGAGAAAATTCACACAGACATGAGAACATGCAAACTCCACAGATAGTAGCCCCGGCTAGGAATCAGTTTTTTCCTCATCAACGTTTTAATGAAATTACATTATTCAAGGACCTGAGGTATTTATTTATAAATGATGTGTACCCCTTTAAAATTTACAGTTTTTTTAACAGCAGCGTTTACATTAACATTTTAGTCTTTAAGTCCATCACTTAATTTATACTAGAATAGTCTGTAGGCTACACCAGAATTTATACCTCCACTGGCTAAAATACTCTGAGTCCTGCATTTATGAGAAATTGCCCAAATTTTGAAAGGGATAAAAAAATACCAGGATAGTTTTTGCACCCTGTTCTAATGGTTGCTGGCCTTATCTGCCCATCAGAGTTGCCCATGGAGCCTTAAATAAATCACAAGCCATACTGCAGAAGATCCTGATTCAGTTAGTTCAGAGGACTGAGTATATGGTAATAGGTCTCCACATGTTATTTTGATGCATACTTGGAGTTGATAACCACTGCTACTCTTCAGTAAAATGTAGTATCTTCCTGAAACTTAGATCAAATGCTTTATTATGCTATGATTCTTTTATACATTGAGACAGTTCTCTCTTCAGAGTTTGACTGCATTGATTTGGTATTTTTACCAAGTTGAATTATTTAGGAACTTATAGAAATATCTTTGTCAATCTTTTTAGGGAATCTACTAATAGGGAAAATAATACTCATCCTGAATGGAGCTTTACCACTGTGCGAAAGAAGCCTGATCCAAAGAAACTGCAGAATGGGGCTGTACGTACATGGAGATGATCAATTCCTCTTGATAGATTTCTTTGAACAATGTAGTGAGATTTCGATGGCCAAAAATGTTGGAATTTGATACCCCTAAATGTCTGTCTACCGCCCACATCCATAGTATATACTTCATTTCCCATTAGTTTTGAACTAATTAAGAAAGGGTCATAGAAGTCATTTATGTAGCCATTGGTATATATTCAAATGCATTTTACCTAGAGATAAATAAATCCAGTGAAATCATGGATATCTATTGTAATCTTAAAGTTAGAAGCCTTCTGGATGATGGTTGGGAATTAGTGATGGGAAGAAAGCATGGAGACTTACCTTATACTGGTCTTTGTGGGGGGGATTCAAATTAATGCACATTTACTATTGAATAAGAAAAACATGAATGACTATTTTAATTTCATGTGTATAATTTATATACTTTGTTCAAAGGAGCAAGACTTTGTGCAAACCCTAAGCTGTTTGTCTATGATAATCACACCTGTATTTGCTGAAGTAAGTACATATTCATCAGGATTGGGTATGTAGTTTAAGAAGTACAGTAATTTTAAATGTTATAGCTAATGATCTTTCTCAGCTTAAACAGCAGGATGAGAATAATGCTAGCAGGAATCAGGCAATTGAAGAACTCGAGAAAAGTATAGCTGTGGCAGAAGCTGCCTGTCCTGGCATCACAGATAAAATGGTGAAGAAGTTAATTGAAAAATTTCAAAAGTAAGCTTGAAATGTCATTCTTAAAAATTATTTTGACATTTTGTGTTGGATTTTAATTTATGAAACAATATAAGCCTCCAGAATTGTGAGAAATAAATGTTTGCTGTTCAAGCCCGCCAGTTTATGGTATTCTGTTATAGCAGACTGAACTAAAACAATATCCTTCCTATTTTTTTCAACTATACCCTCCTCTGTACTTCTTTCAGATTTTCATCGTCATTCTCTTGAACTAGGACTTCTTCCCTATTCCTGTCCTGATTCCACGTTTATCCCCACAACCTATGGAAAACCCATTCTTGAAATAGTCACCAGAGTTAATTTTCAAAAAGAAGCATCTGATCATGTCATGGTAGGCAAAAGACACAGCATGTTGAAAGCTATGAGCATATTAAAAGCAAACCATGTTTTTGGGCAGCTTCAAGTATTTTGCTATGATTCTGTAGATGAGGCCAGAAAGGTACTGGGGTGCAAATAAGAAAGTCACAGATTTATAGTTTCTACAGTTATAAAGACCCGTGTAATCACCACCCATAACAGCATACAGAACAGTTCCATCATTCAGGAAGGTGTCTCCTTCTTTTCTAGTAAATCTCTCCCACTCAAAGAGGCAGCCACTTTCTGAACTCTACATAGTGTTTTATCCTGTTCTTAGATGTCATATAAGTGGAACCATACAATATGTACCTTTTATGTCTGGCATCTTTTGCGTAATATAATGCTTATGAAATTTACCCCTATTGCTATTTATTTTAATTTATTTTGGGTAAAAACCTCAATATGGACTTACTAGTTAATAAGGATTAAACCTAGGAGAATTGCTGGGCCATAGATCGTAAGCTACATGTGTAACTTCATAAAAAAAACACCCAACCTCTCTTTAATGTGGTTGTATCCTTTTGATCTCTTACCAGCGAGCCAAAGTTCTACATTCTCATTAACATTTGGTATTATCAGACTTTTTGATTTTAGCCATTTGCTGGTTGTAAAATAATGTTTTATTGTGGTTTTAATTTACATTTTCTTATAACTAATGAGATACAACACCTTTTCATGTATTGATTGCCATATGCATATTTTCTTTTGTGGGTTGTCAAGTCTTTTGCCCATTTTTATTGGATTGTTTACCATTTTACAATTCATTTATAGCAATGTTTATATATTGTGAATATAAATCTTTTGTCAAATATATGTATTGTGACTTTTCCTACTCTGTGGCTTACTTACTTATTTCCTTAAATATTGTGTATTTATTTTCTTAATTTTATTGAAGTCCAGTAGATAAATTTTGTATGCATAGTGCTTTTAATGTCCTCTCTAAGAAGCTTTGCCTACCCAAAGATTACAAAGATATTCTCCCATATTTTCTTTTAGAATCTTTTTGTTTCTAACATTTACATATAGCTCTGTGATTCATCTTGAACTAATTTTGTGTTTCAAATGAGGGTAGGAGGTTGAAGTACTAATTTTTCCTGTTGGAATCATTTTTCAGAAAAAGGATTCTCCTTTCCTACCGATATTATTTTTGCCTTGTTAGAAAATCATTCTCTTTATATATGTGGATTTACTTCTGGACTCTTTATTCTGTTCCACTGGTCTGTGTGTCTGTTTTGCTGCCAATACCATGCCATTTTGATTACTGTAGCTCTGTAGTATAATTTGAAGTTGTGCACAATGATGCCTCCAGCTTCATTCTTTTTTCTCAGGATGGCTCTGGCAATCTGGGGTCTTTTGTGCTTCGATACAAATCTGATGATTTTTTTGTTCTATTTCTTTAAAAAATGTGGATGGGATTTTCACAGGATTGCATTAAATCTATATAACGATTTAGATAATAAGGTCATTTTAATTTTAACTATGTTGATTCTTCCAATCCAAGAACACGGAATATCTTCCTATTTCTTTGTATCTTCTTCGATTTCTTTTAATATGGACCTATAGTTCTCATTTTATTTGTCCTTCCCATGGTTCATTAGGTTTATTCCTAGGTATTTTATCCTTTTTGTTGCAATTGCAAAAGGAATTATTTTTTCCATTTATTTTTCTGATGCTTTATTATTAGATATAGGAATGCTATGGATTTTTGAATCTTGATTTTGTATCCAGAGACTTTACTGTACTTGCTCATTAATTTTAGTAGTGTTCTTATGGAGTCTTTAGGGTTTTCTATATAGAAAATCATGTCACCCAACATATAGTGACAGTTTGACTTCTTTGTTTCTTATTTGGATGCCTTTTATATCTTTCTCTTGCCTGATTGCACTCGCTAAGACCTCCAATGTTATACTGAATAACAGTGGTGATAGTGGAGAGCCTCGCCTTATTCCTGATATTAAAGGGAAGGTTTTTAGTTTTTCACCATTAAGTATAATATTGGCTGAGGTTTTGTCGTATATGGCCTTTATTATATTAAGGTTATTTCCTTCTATACCGATTTTGTTAAGAGTTTTGATCATAAATGGATGCTGTATCTTGTTGAATGCTTCTTCTGCATCTATTAATGTGATCATGTGATTCTTATTTTTTACTTTGTTTATGTGGTGTATCACATGAATTGCTTTGCATATGTTGAACCATCCCTGTGCCCCTGGGATGAAGCCCCATTGATCATAGTGTATAATCTTTTTAATATGTTGCTGTATTCAATTCGCTAGTATCTTTTTTAGGATTTTTGAATCTGCGTTCATGAGAAATATCGGTCTGTAGTTTCCTTTTTGTGTGTGTTATCTTTACTAAGTTTTGGTATCAGGGTAATACTGGCCTCCTAAAATGAGTTAGGAAGTATTTCCTCCTCTGCGATTATCTGAAAGAGTTTGAGGAGAATAGGTATTCAATCTTCTTTGATTGGTAGAATTCACTGGTGAAGCCATCTCGTCCTGGACTTTTACTTTTTGGTAGGTTTTTGATAATTGTTTCTATTTGCATACTACTGAATGGTCTATTTAGATTTTCCAGTTCTTGATTCAGTCTAGGAAGGTTGTATCTTCCTAAGTGCTGGTCCATGTCTTCTAGGTTATTATATTTGGTGTTACATACTTTTTCATAGTGTTCTTGTATGATCCTTTGTATTTCTGCATGTCCGTTGTAATTTCCCCCTC